AGGACGTTGACGTGCAGCTGCTGCTGTTCGACTCGTTCGGCGGGTTCGGGAAGGGGGTCGGCGAGATCCTCCGGAAGGCGGCGAACGTGCTACAGAACAAGCTGACGCGGGCCCAGTACCTCGATGAGGTGACTTTGGACCACTAAGAATTGGCTGGGGCTGCAGTAGCAGCGTATCTCAGTCGTTCTTCACACGGCAATCGCAGAGCAGGTTGTGAATGAGCTTGCCTGTGGCGGGGGTGGGCGGGTGCACGGAGCTAAGTGCCTCGCCACCCTCGCAGGAGTCGCTTAGGCGGCTCCCGTGGTGTACCTGTGTTAGTGCCAGTGCGCGCCAGTCCCGTGCCCAGTGTTGTGCGAGGGAGTATTATGGCTTCGTCAAATTCTTTTCCTGTGTCGAGCCTGTGTGCTAAAAAGAAAGAAAGAAAACACACAACCCAAGGGAGGGATGGGAGAACGGCACGCCGCCACCACACAGGGATTTTAAGGAGAGGAGAGTGTGATGCGCTAGCCTGTGTGCTGTGAGAGAGAGTTCGCACTTGGAGCACTTGGAGTGCGGTCAGTAACCTCACGCCCAGGACCGGGGAGCTGAGAAGCGCACCCAGTTGGCCGGACGCTCGGCATCGGGTTATACGGGCTAGAGAGCCCTAGCCCCGGGGGTGCGCGGTCGCAGGGCCATAACACGGGTCTCCGAGGGTTAGTACCGCGCTCCGGGTTTCCCCTAGCAGCAGAACGCCCCCTCTACTCGGAGCTAAAGAATACTCTCCGAGGGTTGGACCCGCGTACCAGGTTTCCCCTTAACTGCAGGACGCCCCCTCTACTCGGAGCTAGTGATACGAGAATACGCACCGTCCCCACACAATACCTTACTCGAAGATAATACGAGAATACGCAGCTGCGAGGCACCTGTCGAGCAGCTTCCGCGGCGAGCAGCTTCCGCGGCCGTGGGGCGTGGGGGGGGGGGGGGGGGGGGGCCATAAAAAAAATGGCTGTTTTTTTTTGGGGGGGGCCGATCTTCTTCCCCCCCTTTTTGAGCGGGGGGGGGAACCCCCCCCGCCCGGGGAGGGGGCGCCCCTCGCTTTTAGGGGGTGCCCCCGCCCCAAAATTCCCGGGGGGGGAGTTTTCCCCCCCTAATCCTT